CCAATCCAAGTGTCTTCGTGGTTGGGAAATTGCAATTTTGGTCTAAAATCTGCGTTGTCCGGCCTGATTCCACATGGGAAGTGGCTTTGCCCATCGTGTACACAGACCAGTGTGTGGTTTCTCGGAGGAACCTGGGCCGTCTCAGTAAAGGCTACTTGACCACGAGCCTCGGGCCAACTGTGTTTTGCTCCGTGGCCGCTCGGCAAAGCTGCATCCTCAGTGGGCATCTGTGCTGGGGATGGAAAGTGTGGGCACTCGGCAACCCCTTGCTTCACCCAACATAAATCTGATCACACCACGTGTCAACTATACAGCAACTCTATTTAGAAGCTCCGTGGGTAAACAGTCCATGCAACTGCACAGTAATTGTACAGAGCTCCTACAGATGACAGAGCAATAATTAACTCAGTAATTGCATGTGCCGGAATAGCCCTGGAACTTCCAGTGTGTTTTGGATGGCTGGCACGGCTCTCACGCGCTTTCTCACCTCCTGTTTGAGGGAAGAAAGGCTCCCACTGACTTCAGCAGGCTCAGAGCACCTCTCCTCCGTGGACATCACAGCTGCTTTATAGCAAGAGTAGCCCTGCTGCTTTCCCCCGCAACCAGAGCTAAGGAAAGAAATCCCAAAGCAGGAACATGAGAGAGAAGCGTCCCAGGAAGAAATAAAGGGGGCAGAAGAAAAAGGAAAAAAATAAAAAAAGCCAACAAAAAAATTCCACATCTCGGACTCAGAGAGCCAAACCTTGGGGAACACAGAGCTGGATTCGTGTCTGATAAACGGAGCAACTCCCTTTGGATGAGGGAAAAGAAACGCAGAGGCTTTAGAACTGATGCCAACAAGCTCCTGATTTGGGGAGGAAATTCAGAGTGTCACAATTCAGGTTTATTTCTATGAATCCACACAATGTGAGCAAAATAGCATGCAGGGGTGGCTCTTCTGGTGATGTAAATTAATACATTCCCATTAACCTTCATGGAAGTACACCAGCTTTCTCCTGCCAAGCTTCTGGACCTGGGTCTACCTCCAAGTGGAGGGAGCAGAAGACCTGGTTGCCAGACTGGGCAAGCTGATGCTTGGCTTTGAGTGTCCCCAACAGCAAATACTGGTACACTGATCTGAATTTAAACGCTGTTAGTGATGGAAGTGATGTTCACAAAGCGATGAAAAACCTCTCACAAAGCACAGATTGTTCTGCAGCGTCATCTTTTGGTGCTCCACAGTGCCTGGAAGAGGAGGCCCCATGTCCCAGCTGAGGAGACTGGCCCTTGCCCCCAGGCAAGGTAGGAGATGCATCCCCATGTGATGCCCACTGCTGCCCGCACACTTTCATGCTGTCAGCCGGAAGGGAAATGCCGGAGCCATTTGCTTTGCTGTTGGCTTCAGGTCAGCAGAAGATGAGCAGTGTTGGCATAGTGAGCTTTCCTATTGAGCTCAGGTTTTTTATGGACAATGGGCCACTCTCAATTTCTCCCAGACCCTTTCTTCTGCCCCATCACCCAGATAAGCATTGCTCGTGTCTACCCTAAGCCAGACGAGACCTTTAAGGATGCCCTGTCCACCAGGATGTGGGGTAGGTAGATATATAGCCCCAGGTATGGCTGGTGTGTGCGTGCAGGGCATCTGGATGGCACGCCGGTGTGGAGGGGGTTAGAGCACCCTGGAGGTGCCCACCTGGGCTCAGGTGGGTGCATGGCACGCGGGTGGGTGCATGCACATCTGGGCACAGTGGTGTTTGGGTCTGTGGCTGGCAGCAGTGGGGACACGGGGACTGCAGGGACGGTGATATCTGTGCCTGGCGATACAGGTCTGTGCAGGCACGGTCCCCCCCAGACCCCTCCTGGACTCTGGCCTGCTTTGCTCATTAAAATATTGGGAAAAGGGATCGCTACAAGCACAATGATGCCCTTTCCAGCTCCAGCTCCATCGCTTCCCTGCACCAGGGGACTGCAGGGCTGAGGCAGGTGCTCTGGAGATCTTCCTCCATCATCTGTGTCCTGGTGCACATGCTGGAGCGAGTGCTGGGCTGGTCCCCACTGAGAAAACCCCTTCACCAAGCCTCTGCCACCAGTGCCAGGAGACCTACCAGGGCAAACGTTGTTAATCCTTGTGCTGCTGAGAACAACTGTCCTGGCTGCTCCTCACCTGCCAGCAATGCCATGCCAGCTGCCCGGAGAGCGGAGCTGAAGCTGGCAGGAGGTCATCAGCTCCGTACCAGCCTTGCTTGGGCCACTTGCTGCCAGCTGCATGGCATTGGGTTGGAGAAAGAAGGGAACGGAGAGCAGCTGAGGCACAGGCGGTTGAAGAGGTGATGGACCAAGGCTTGAGCCACCTGCTCCAGAGCCTCAATGCCCCTTAGGGCCCTGAGCCACTGAGCCCCAGTCTTAACTGTAACACATTGTACATGTGACATAGCCTTCAAATATTAAAAAGCAGCCTTCATGTCAACGGTTTGAGGCTCCAGGCTGGTTCCAGCGGCCACATGGGCTTCCCACAGCCCTGAGCGCTGAGACTGTAGCCTTAGAGACTGCTGCACACAGAGCCTGCCCGGTGTCTGCTCCTACTCCTTGGCCATGGGGAAGGGTGGGAGAGCATCTGAAGGCTTCAAGACCTTTTCAGAAATAAAACATTGGGATGTGCTCATGAAGCTACCCAAGGAGAGGAGAACGTGAAAAGATGCAACTATGTCGCAAGTGCCATTCTTCAAGAAACATTGTGCCTCAGAGTTTGCCTGCACCACAAACTCCTCTTCTTCACCCAGGTCCTCTTCACTCTCCTCTTCAATCCCACCTTATTGTGCACCATTTACCAAGGCAGAGGTGTCCATAAGTCCATCTCACGGGGCTGAAGATGTGCTTGGGGGAGGATGTCCTTCCATCAGGACATCACACGTCCCAGCGCCCCTGGTAGGGGGTTTCCTACATGACTGTGCATCTCCCACCATTCCCACTCTGCATCCAACACTGCTTCTACCCAAACCCCTGCTCTTTCCTTCTTCCTCTCCCAGCCAAGGGGAGGAGCTCCCACGAAACCACATTCTGCTTTTGTTCCCTGCAGCCAAGCGATACATCCCACTACGCGGCCAGAGAAACTCCTGCAGAAGAGCACTGCGGGCCAGCGAGACCCTCCTGTGGGCAGGGGTGGGCCCTGAGAAATGGGCGTCACCACATCCCAGCAGTGTTTAGCTGCAGAGCTTGCCCCATGTCCACCCCGGCTAAAGAGTCAGCGCCCGGCTTTGGGTCTCGGCTCCATCTCTTTTGATGGAGCGGGGCTCCTAGGAAGGAAGAACAATTGCTTAAGAAAAGGGGAGACTTTTTTCCCCTCTGGGGTCAAATGGAAGGGTAGCAAGAGTTGCACGGCGCCGTGCTCAGGAGCATCAGGAACACAGATGTAGCTTTCTGTACTAACCCTGCCCTAACACTGAGTTCGGTCTGTGACTTCCAGAAAGCCACACAGTAGTTTCCCATCGGTCGTACCTTCCCTCTCCTCTGGCCCAGGCTCTGAGCATCAGTAGGTGATGCACGTGAACAGGCTCTTGCTAGGAACGGGCCACCCCATCCCGCCTCTTTGGGATGGTGATGCCTGTGGATGCCCAACACGGACAAACTCCCTGGGAACCTCTACACTTACCAACCTGCTTCTTCCTTGACCTGGGAAAGCAGGATTGGTTTTGACCTGAGGAAGGAGACGAGCGAAGGGCAAAGGAGACGGGAGCCCAAGTGCCTTTTTAAACGTTCCTTTGCCGCTCGCCTCCACGTCCCGTGGCGGTGTCTGCGCTGACGTCAATGCGGTGCCGTTGATTCGCACCAGCTGAGGGGCTGGCACACGATCCTCCCCTTCGGAGCGGTTGACGTGGGGCGGCCAAGGGCTCGTGCTGGGATATGTTCCTCCCCGCACCGCTCCGCAGCAAGGCCAGGCATGACGAACCACTGAGGAGCCCCGGCAGGCTCCGCGCGGCACAGCCCCTGCCCTCGCCCCGGCGCCCGCGGATGGGGGTCTGCTGCCCACCCGAACTCCTCCACGCAGAGAGACGCGGAGCGAGGTGGCAGCTCAAGGGGCACAAGCAACACAAGCCTCCCCTCTGCG